AGAAAGAGAGACAGAAAGAAAAAAAGATTTAAGATAATTGGGATAGTCGTCACCCAATTGTTTTTCTCTTTTTTTTTAAGGGATTAAGACACAATATTCTCAAATCAACCTCTGTAGAGCTTCAAGCACAGTCCTATTTAAATTCAATACCTTTCATTATTGTTTGAAAGATTTTATTCTAGTTGTGACTTAAGTCCAGCAAATTGAATACAATTTTTTTTTATCACTTTCTTTTTATTCTTATAAATAAAATCATGTTCTCTTAGAATATATATTAATCGTAGTACTGTCAACTCATCCACATTGAGTTATATTATATTAATCGTAGTCAAGATTGGATTTGAAAAAAGAAAAATAAAGAAGAAAGTAAAATATATTTTCCTCTTTCAAGTTGGATTATAAATGTACCCAGTAATTTTTTTTCCAGTGGCACAACTTATAGACTAAAGAGGCATGAAGCCAAACAAAAAAAAATCTTAATATTTAATTATTTATTTGAGTTTTCTTAGACCTTAAACTATATAATAAGTGGTTGATGTTTCTTATTCTACAATTTCTTTGATCTCTGATCTCCATTATCATTGTAGATCATTTAATACTAAGTTAGCTAAGACCATGTAACCGATTTCATGGTAAGAGTACTTGCAAAATGTTAATATATAGTTAACTAAATTCTTTTAAAAAATATTTGGCATATAAACAAATAGAAAGGTAAATTATTAGAGGAAAAAAGAAGATATTATTCTTAAATAAATTACTACATATATAAGATTAATTTATTTATATTTTAATTAATTTCATGAATTTTAAAATTAATGATTATATAAATTTTTAATAATTTTGAGGTTTATAAAATTTATTTTTTTAAATAAAATATTTATGAGAGAAAGAAATAGTGAAAGTGAAAAAATACACTATTGTGAACCGTATTTAATAACTATATTGACGTAAAACATTCAAATTTAAAAGCGTATAACCACACCGCATAGTTGAAAGAGCTGTTCAGCGTACGAACCATTCTTCACTATAAATATGTTATGGGGCGTACAATATTTTTGACGATCTGACTGAAAATGGGAACTAATATTCCAACTTCCACCCTCGGTTCAACCGATAGAACCATACCTCTTTTAGGTTATGGAACTGCCGAGTATCCCTTTGGTGCTTCCATTGAAACCATGAAAGAGTCCATTCTCCATGCAATAGAACTTGGTTACCGGCACTTTGATTCAGCCTCTCTTTACCAGTCTGAAGTACCTCTAGGTGAAGCAATATCAGATGCTTTAAGATTAGGTTTAATCAAGTCTCGAGATGAGCTCTTTATCACTTCCAAGCTTTGGTGTAGTGATGGACATAAAGATCTTGTGCTCCCTGCGTTACAAAAGACACTCGAGTAATTACAGCAGCTAGCCTGTTCCTTCTTGATTTCTGCATGTATTTTGAAAATCTTCTACTTCATTCTTTCTTGTTTTATAATTTTTTTCTATCGTTGGTGTCATGATATTCTTGCAGGAATCTTCAGCTAGAATATCTAGATCTGTATCTAATTCACTGGCCTGTGAGCTCAAAGCCAGGAGAATATGTGTTTCCAGTGAAGGAGGAGGACCTTCTTCCAATGGATTTCCAGTCTGTGTGGGAAGCTATGGAGGAGTGTCAAAAGCTAGGCCTGGCAAAATCCATTGGTGTGAGCAATTTTTCATGCAAGAAGCTTGAGGACTTGCT